ACATGACAAATCTCGAAAAAGATTCAATTTTAAATATTTGTACAAAATTTCATGATCTGTTTTATTTAGAAAACGACAAACTGACATATACAAATACGATTACTCATAGTATCCCCGTCGAAAATGACGAAAAACCCATATACATAAAACCCTACAGATTACCGCACGCTCATAAAACAGAAATTCACCGACAAGTTTCACAGATGTTAGCAGACGATATTATTCAAAATTCGCAAAGTCCCTGGAATTTTCCTTTAATTATTGTCCCCAAAAAACTTGATACTGACGGAAATAAAAAATGGAGGATATGCGTCGATTTCAGAAAATTAAACGCAATTACAAAATTGGACGCTTTCCCATTACCACCAACATTATAATACCAAGTTACTAGAAGTGCTAGAAAAATTACGACAATACAATCTAAAGTTGCAACCCGATAAGTGTCATTTTTTGAAACACGAAATTACGTATTTAGGCCTTATTATCGGTGCACACGGTGTGTCTCCTGATCCTGATAAAATTTCCTCAGTAAAAAACTTTCCCACTCCTTCCAATCAAAAAGAAATAAAAATTTTTAGGATTGTCCGGTTACTACCGCAAATTTATACAAAATTACTCCCGAATTGCATTACCTCTAACCGAATTATTAAAAAAGGACGCCAAATTTAATTGGACCCAAGAGTGTGAACTTCCATTTAATGAACTTAAACAAAAACTAATAAATCCACCTTTACTCCAGTATCCCGACTTCGATCGAGAATTTTCATTAACCACGGACGCAAGCGTTTTGCATTAGGCGCGGTTCTATCTCAAAATGTCGAAGGAAAAGATTTACCAATTGCATATGCATCGCGAACCTTGCACCCCGCAGAAAAAAATTATTCTACTATAGACAAAGAACTTTTAGCAATCGTGTGGAGCATAAAACATTTCCGACCTTACCTTTATGGAAAACCATTCAAATTGTACACCGATCACATGCCCCTTATCTACTTGTACAAATGTAAAGATCCAAATTCATGGCAAATGCGCTGGAGGCTTTCTTTAGAAGAATATGAATTCGATATAATTTATAAATCTGGATCATCTAATACGAATGCCGATAGTTTATCTCGCTCATTTTTTGATATTCAAGAATTAGCATCTAATGAAAATACTTCACCTATTCCTATCGATCCTAAACCAAAGTTTTCTCTTCTATGCAGATGCAATTTTAATTCCGAAATTAATTTTGAAAATTTTTTAAATACTATTAAAACCTCGGTTATAATTAATAACAATATCGAGGAATCGAATGAAGTTTTTCTCACATCCCTAAAACATGAAGAATCCGCATTGATATTCGTGATAAAAAACCAAACTCCCGATGATAAATTAACTAAATATTTCGATTTTTTCCAACATAGTAACATTAATAACAATTTGGCTAATTTCGGAACACACGATTTTTCAACTTAAACTACTCTCAAAAACAAATTTTTTACTCAATTGTAAATAACATGAATTCCCAGCCAACACTTGAAGATTTTTTCCATTGCCTCTTAAATCTAAAAGCTCATTTAATTCAAGAAAATATTAAATCCATTGCTATTCCAGCTCCCGCACAATTTCAAAGTTTTTGCCACATACCAATAAAAATTTTTAGAATTTTATTACGATACATTTTCAGAGACACCGACATAAAATTAAAAATTTATTATGACAAAATTATTGGAAACCTAACACCAGATGAGATAAGTAAGATTTTAAACCAATTTCATAGATCACAATATACGGGAGGTCATCTGGGCCATAAAAAAACGTTCAGCAGAATACGTAGCATATACAAATGGCCAAAAATGCGAAAACAAATTAAATCATATGTAAGCAAATGTCCTGATTGTCAAAAAAATAAAGTATATAAGAAAACAAGGCAACCTTTAGTTATAACGACAACAGCCCGCGAGCCTTTCGAAAAAATTTGTATTGATATTTGCGGCCCTTACTCCGTTTCTGACTCCGGAAATAAATATTTGTTGACATTTATATGCGACTTAACGAAATATGCAGGCGCCATCCCCATTTGTAATCAAGAAAGTTCGCCAGTCGCAAATGCATTCGTTTCAGAAATTATTTTAAAATTTGGCTTTCCTAAGGAAATTCTATCTGATCAAGGTACCACGTTTACTAGCAATTTATTCAAGGACGTTTGCAAATTACTAAAAATTAAAAAGATAACAACTTCTCCGTACAGACCTGAGTCGAATGGCTCATGTAAAAGGATCCATAGGGATTATGTTCAAAACTTGAGATCTTATATTAACAAAACCCAAACAGATTGGGACAAATGCATAAAATACGCAGTTTTTATCCATAATACAACTATACATAACGCGACAAATTACACACCTTTCGAGTTAGTTTCTGGTAGGAAAATAGAATTACCACTGTCTATAGCAAAACCTATATTTCAATATAACTATGACACTTACGTTAATGAGTTAAAATCGCGGTTATCGCACGCGAATAGTTTCGCTCGACAGAATTTACTGAGTAATAAAGAAAAAACTAAAAGTAACTATGATCAAAATTTGAATCCTGAAACCTTTGAGATCGATGAGTATGTGCTTTTGAGAGATGAAACTCCGTATCCGCGGCGATGCAAAAAACTTTTGCCCCTATGGAAAGGTCCCTTTAAAATATTAAAAACCGATAGTATAAATAGTACCATTTTGATCCATAATAAACATGTACAAGTGCACAACAACAAATTGAAAAAGTTTATACCAAACGAGTAAAGTAACATAATCTTTACCAAATTTTCTAAAAAAAATCTTATTATTGAATTGCATTTAATTAATTTGATAAATCTCATAGAATAATGTTAATTATCACATAAATCAAATTATCAATTAAATTTTATTGGTTAAATAATAATAATAAAAATAATATTTCTTTTCACAAATAAATTAAATCTAAAATATGTAATGTAAATGCAAATCTAGAATTTAAAAAAATAGTCCAATTTATAATATTAATGTTAAGTGTTTTGATTTACTAAAATATAAATAAAAATTGATGTATTTAGTTGTTATATCCATTATGCATCAACTCATAGTTATTAAGATAAAGATTTTAGTTATTAATGTACAAGTTAATTACAACCTGAAATTCGCTAATGTTATGTAATAAGCCGAAGACGGCTTAATTTTCACGATGGAGGTGTTGAGAATTGTGTTCTTTATAATTATAAATATTAGTCATAAGTAAATTCATTCGAACGATGTATAATCCCAAGTAATGGTAAATGTTGCGAATATTTTGTACATCTGCAAAACAACCCTTAATAAAAGTTTATGATAGCTCATGTACCCTCGGCGAGCTATCATAAAACTGGAAATATTGGAAATACTTTAAAAATGTAAAATTATAAGTTAGTTTACAGAAGAGCTACAAATGTTCCAATTCTCGTCGTTAAGTATTCCAAATAAAACTCCAATCTACTCAAGAAGTTATTAAAAATTGGTTACATTTAATCATTAATTAGTAAATTCATTACTAACGTCTCTTCAATATATACATATATATACTTTAATAAGATTTCTTATAAAATAAATATAAAACATATCAAATATTGATAGAGTAATGATTTATCCACACGAACTTATAGAGAATTATTTTAGCGTTTGAAATTTTGACTATACATCATTAATAGTGATTCTAGATATATATGCTGAGATCGCGTTTTTGCTTTTTGTATATTTACTGAATATTATCTATTATAACTATAGGTCCAAATGTCTCTCAAAAGCCTGAAATTATTGAAATAGAAGAAGATGCACAAGCGTAACACATCATAGATATGTACAGCGTTTAAACAGAATGATGCCTTACAATGATTTATAAGAGCTTTTTGAGTTCTACAAGCTTGTAGACAAAAAATCATCCTGAAAATTTGCAACAGTTTGAGCATAGGAGTTGTTCAATGAACAGATTCTAACTCATATCCGCAATATAATGAATGGACAAGATAAATAATAATTAAACTAGTGGGGTGGGTGGCATCGTGCCTTAAGGCAAATTGCTGGAACTTCCCGTACCGTAACGAAATGTTCGAGGAATACTGAATGTTTTCAAATAGATTATTATCAATATTGTAACATTGTCTAATATTTATAAGAATTATATAAACTGAATTGCAAAGTTGAAATTATTTGTTTAAAGTATATTAGAACTATAGTCAGAATTAAAAATAAAATCTGAATTATTTTCGATATAAAAAAAATAAAAAAAAAAAAAAAAATTGAAACAATTTTTTTTTCCAAAATCAATTATTTTGTTACGACAAGCAGAAAGTTCTTTGAATCATTCAAATCGGACGCTTAAATCTCTCAAAAACTGCCATTTTTTACATATTTAGCTCCGTATCTTCGAAATGGTTGGGCCTGCCTTTGCCAAAAACTAATAAACACTTTTTCCCAATCATTACTAATCGAATGTTTTTTAGATCATTCAAATCGGATACTCCAAAAAGTTCTCTCAAAAAGTCGATTTGTATTTTCTGCACTCTTTGCTCCGTATCCCCGAAACGGCTGAACCTGCCTTTGCTAAAAACTAATCAGCTCTTTTCCCTATCGATATTAATCGAATGTTTTTTGAACCATTCAAATCGGTTGATCCGTGCGCCCGAAAACGTGACTGGAAATTTGTATCCATACATACATACACACACACACACACACACACACACACACATCAATTTTCTCTGAGGTATGCCAAAATGTTCAGAAACCTTTTAAAACGTCGAGAAATGTAAAAATTTTCAATTCCGATTTTTGACCCATTACAATAACTTACCCTACGGGAAGTTAATTAACAGTAAATTTATTTTAATGTAATAGTATTCACTTATACGGAAAAAATTGCTTCGGGCACAGCGATGGCACATACGAGCGTGGTTTACGAACGATTTAAACATATGTCGGGGAACCACTATTTTCTACAATAATCGAATATCTTACCGGAGGATTAGATGTCGTCGTATATCTGCTTATGGTCGACATATCCCTTGGTGCATCCGTCAAATCTTCCTCTCCGGTTGCGTTACAGTTGTCAATGGCGATGTTGATGGGTGATTTTGAAACGTCGTTCTTCTGTTCCGTTCTAAGCAATTTGGCCGGTTCATTTATGTCCTCCTTCAGAGACCTTGCGAATTCAGGTGTAAAACCATTCGAGACAACTTTAGAATTTACCGAATTATCATTGCAACCCACGTTAAAAGCGCGCTGAGTGTTCAAATCATTTGTTTTTGTCTCCGTCTGCAATGAACGTGAAAAATGTCAGTGATTTCATTAAAATTGAATTGACAGATACAAATTTGACAACTTGAATAAATACTCTGAAGCAGAGGTGGGACTTGCTTCAAACTAGGTGTAAGTAGCATTTTGCCTTAAGGAAAGTTGCATGAACTTGCTGATATTATGAAAATAACTTAGTAAAACTTTGACAGAAAAATTTTCAACTGTTTATTTTAAAAATAAAGGTATTGCTTTTTGCAAACAAACTAATCAATGAATTTTGCAATTCATATGTCCCAAACAAACTTATAAGAAATGTAATTCAAGATGACCATTATTATTGTCATCAATAACTTAAAAAAATAAAATAAAAAAATATTATAAAAAAATTGAAGATGAAAGAGATTGAATAGATATTTAAATATAAGGCTTATAAATGTAGAATCAAATAGATATAAATGATATGTATATATGAAATTTCATTTCTCTCACAATCTCTCTTATACCAGGCACCCCGCCTGACAGATGTGAAAATAATATGTCAATAAAAAAAATAATTTATTTAACTATCTCATTCTACTTATAGAGTCTATAAAAATGTATTTTATATAAAATATGATCGTCAATAGAAATCAGTACAAAACCAAAACAGAAATATATAAAGAATGTGTCCAAAAGACTATGTAAAGTACTTTGGGGGCATTCAATAATACCCTGAGGCTTGAAAGGGAAATTGACAAGAAATTCCGAAATATCATCGTAGGGTAGGGGAATCCAGTAAAAAATTATGTGAATTTATTTTTTACCTAAATTGAAAAAAAAATTACCACTTTTTCTAGGTACTGAAATGCCCCTAACACACGTAATGTTTGGTGAAGAAGGGGTCATTTTAAATATCACCATGTATTACCCAAGGGGATAGAAGGGTCCAAAAATCCTTAGAAATCGATCACGTGATTAATGTACGGCCCCATTCTGGTAGTCATATGTATTTGAGAATACTCGCTTAGAGTACACGAGTACACCACCTTTATCACTATGCAAAATTTCATAAAAATCGACACCATTACCAACTGACATCTTTCAAACACTTCACTTTCAAATCGATTCCAGTTTTTTATCGAAAATGTTGACTTCCATATATATCTGCTAATCTTATATATAAAAATGGATCGCAAAATGTGTGGTAATAACATAACTCACAACGCCTGGACCAATTTGGCCAATTCTTTTTTTTAAATGTTCGTTCGAGTCAAGGATGGTTCTTACGGCGAGAAAAAATCGAATTTTTGCTGGGAAACCCTAAAAACGCCCTTTTCTTTTTAATCGAGTAGGCAACGAAATTGTAGAAAAAACAATGATCTATATCATCACATTTTGTGTAGTTTTTGATAATCATATTTTTAATATATTTATATAAACATAGAAATATCTTTCTATTAATTAACGAGCTATATTGGCAGCCAAAAACATTGATGTAAATGAATTAAATTTCAAAATTCAAGAACAAATTATAGGCGAATCAGTTGATTCGACAACTAACCAAGAGGATCCACAGGAGTTTTAAAAATCGCTGGATTTGCTAGGATTGTCACCTCACAATCTTCAATTAAAGGTTGGATCTACAGTTCCAGTACGTTTATGGTATCATTAAGTGTTTGTGGTATTAATTTGGAAAACCCATGTTTCTCACATGGAAAATTGTATGTTGTCTGTTCCCGTATTGGAAAACCATCAGATTTTTTTGTCTACGCGCCAGGTAATCAAACAAAAAACATCGTTTATCACAAAGCACTACAATAAAAATTGAACTGATTTTTGAATTATGAGTTACATGATTAAAATTACTTACTTTTAAATGCTTATAGTGTTTTATTTAATTATTTTTAATTCACACCGAATTATTACGAGGGTGACGGTTCTGTTCAGGATAATTTTTTGTAAAGAATAGAAAAAAGGTACCCATTACAAACTTTTTTGACAGGATGAAGTCTGTCGGGTCGGCTAGTTTTGAATAAAATGCTCGGTCAATCGCCGCACAAAGATGATGATCGAGTTATATTTACGTTTTTTTTTCAATTATGATGTCAAGCGATTCAGAATGACTTGGAACGTCAAGAAAACCATAAAATTAGCAAATCCGATTTTCTGGCAGAAGAATATTTAAAGAAAACATAATTTTATAGAGTTTTTCAGAATTGGCGCATTTACAAGCAATCAACTTATCTCCAAAGATAGATTAGAATTATGTATATGTATCAAATAGAAAAATGATAAATGATAACAATTAACAATCAAGAAAAAATGATTGCCAAAAATGAGGCGCAAACATTCAGAAACAAAATTGTAAAGACCATTAATGTGTTTTACATTAAATTCTCTTAGAGTTATTTGAAATGATTTTAGATATTATAGAATTATATTACCTTCACTTTGTCTTAAACGCTTTCAATAAATATCCAAGAATTTGAGCGAATTTTAGCGTAATGCACCAATATATTTATAAGAATTACTAATTACTAATTAGTATGTAGTATAATGAATTTATATTAATTATTCCACACAAAATCTAAAAAATTTAAAAGTTTTATGCATGCGATTGCCATATATTCAAATTACGAAAAATTACTAAAGTTATCATACCGACGATTCTGGAGGTGTTTTATATGTGGAGCGGCACCCAAAAATCGATGCGAGCAGTGTTGCATTCGGGAATGAATTCAGTGAAATATTATTTAAGAAAATAACTTAAATTTATTATAAATGATACATAGGAAATCTCCCAGGGCAAGTCCGTGAGCTGAATTAAACTCCAACTCGATTCAGAGAAGAATAGTGTGAGAAATTTACACAATGCCATTTCTCACCGGAGTGCACAAAATGGGCTATTTTCAATTTGAAACATATTTTTGATCTGTATTTTCATGTGAAAATTGACATCGCTACTGCTCGATGTGGGGTTGTCCAGAACGGGGTTCGAACTCACGACTCCTACACCATGGAACATTCTAGTTTTATTAACTAAATCAAAATAAAAAGTTCCAGTACCACTTTATGTTGCTATTTTTAATTGTAAATTAGGGAAAATAAGAAATCAATAAGAATATCTATCACTTTAAACTAAATTTTTACTAATAGTCAAATTAAATATATTCTTTTTTGTCTTTTTTTCAGCACTGATTTATTAAATATTTTATAGCCATTTATATTAGTTACAAATTCTGAATACTATTAGCAATAATAAAAACAAAAAAAGCCAAAAGAAAGTATATTTAATATGAACTGTTTGTAAATTTGATTAAAAGTGACCGATTAATAATTAAGAATATATTTTTCATTTATAATTTTTTTTTAAATCATGGTAAATCTCTACTCTTTTTAAGAAGGCCTCAAGGTAGATTTTTATTAATTTTAACAAAGAATAAAACTATGACCAAAAATATATGTACATATATAAAATTCATATATGTATATAAAAAACAGAAAACTTTATTAAAAACGGCTTATTTCTAATTATATTGGTTGAGAATCTGATTTGAATGATATACCCTGATGATAAATTATAATATTGCAGCCCTTGCAAAAGCTATAACAATGTTTTGGAAGTTTTGGTTGTCGTTTTTAATCATAAATTCGAGCAAAATTTCCTATGCATGAGTAAGGAATTGTAAATTATACAAAAAATACACCTTTTGAACTCACTAACAAAATTCGAAAGTTTTACTTGAAGCGTGAAGCTTTTAAGTAATGTTTGCCAAAATTGTGTTTTCATTTATTGGTGTGGCGCAAAACTGAAAATTTACTAAAAAAGTAAGGATATTATTAAAAACATCAATAAATAAAACTGAAGATCTTCAAAAGATCATATTAACCATAGATATTTTTGCAGAATTTTATGTCACATGGGTAAATAAAATAATTTATTTGTAATAAAGAATCTAATTTGAATAATATACATCAATATATAATAATTCTGCATTCTATAAAAGAGCTACAACACTGCTGTATACACAAGTTGCTAACAGCCAGGTAATGGAAATGATCAATTTCCCGTTTGATTACAGTGATAAATAAATAACGTTGTTATGGTTAGCAAAACCACACTATTGATTCTCATAAAAGAACTACTATTTGATATTATTCAAGATAACAAATTTATATATGGATGAATCACATATATATTAAAAATTATATTATATTTATATATTTTATAAAATTACATTTAATGGCAAATCCGCATAGAAATAATTTGTACTGGTAATTGTACCAAAGCTAGCCTATTATAGTTTTTTTACACTGAGTTTTCATAAGTATTACTGATCCAGTTGGTATATTTCTCACATACAACAAGAAAGAAATTTCACTGAAAATACCATTAATTGTTATCCTAATACCATGCATGTGAAATATTTATGGCATTTATTTCACTCAAAAAAATTACACATTGCCTAATTAGAAAATAAAATCTCAATTTTACCTAATCACTTAAGTGTAACCAATTTTATGTTTTATTAAGTATGTCTACTTCTAAATTAAATGATTATGTTTTAATCGGAGCTATATAAGTATTGAGAACTTCATTATTACAAAATAACTTCCTATACCACCATTCGGGGTTGTTTTACTTAGAATAATTCCATCAAATAAAATATTGACATATTTGATTAACTTTCTGATTAGATTCCTATAACATATTTTCGATATGATATGGTACTTAACTGAAATCAAACCAGTAAAATAATCATTTAGATATTTAGAATGTAGTGTAATTTAATTGATAGCATGAACCAAAATAAATTTTTCAATAAGGTAACTTATAGTACATTTATAATATATATGTTATATATTAACTGATGATGAAGACAAATCACGATCACAGCCAAAATTTGTAACCTAGTACTTTTTGAAATAAAACTAGTGCAAAAATACATAGTAGTGTGCTCATATTTACATAATTATACACTTCCCTCATAATTCAAAATTCTACTTCTACCTAAATATATATACATATAATTATTGAATGAAAAAAGACAGAATCCCTATAAACAGGCAGAAGAGTGGTTCCTCATCAATAAAATTATGTTGAAAAAAAATCTATCTCCATCAGTTTCACATCCAGTGAAAGTAGAAGATACATTGAACTTCAAGGTATGTTATTCCCAACTTCAATAGTTGGGAATAACAATGGATAGTCTGCTGGCCAAACGCAAAGATTTATTATGCGCAAGGCTTCCTATGGAGAATTAGATCCATAAGAAATCAGGAAAGTGCCAAAGAGAGCTATTTTGTTATGTTCCATTCTAGATTCTCATTTAGAATATTAGGTTGAGAACACTATCCTTATGTATCCAATTTTATGGATCTTCAGAACAAAGCTGTGATAGCGATAAAAGGTGCTTCATCTCGTAAGGCTTGTAAGCTGCTATTAATGAAATATAATATTCTGAGTATCACGAACATTTATGTTTGATACAAAAGAACATGGTGACAAAACAAATCATATACTGAAAGTAAATAAAAATGCTGTGATAAAATCAAGCTTAGATATCACTGAGAACCAGACTTTGTAGCAAGATTTATAACAAGATACCTGATGGATGTGAAACCGATAACAAGCTTAAAAATACAGTCATTTGTTAAACAATTCACCTAATCTGTTAAGTGGATATTTAGGACAAATATGTAAAAAAATATTTTTAAATTCGAAACATACTAGTGTACATTTTCAAATCAGAATGAATAATACGATCACCAGGTTTTCTTCACTTGGATATATTATGATAATTATTTCCAATTACTTTATAAAAACAGAATAGACATCTATCCGAAATAAATTAGCAAGTCAAGTATACCTGAAAAACCAGCCAAACAGGCTTAAAGGAAAAATACACGTAGACCTATAGTATAATTAACTATAATACTTTCATTTTGCTATATTTTATTGTGTTTTCCCTTTTGTTTTTAGTTTTTTTTATTATCATATTTTAATTAGCTCTAGTAGATACATCACTGAGGGTTTCTACTAATTCTTAATCAATTTCATTTTACCATATACTTGTCAGCATTCTGTGCTAAATGTAATAATATATACAGATTGCAGAATAAAATTGAATTAAAAAAAAAAAACAATTACTAATATATCTTGACGTGAAATAAGATAAAATTGACCAGGTTTGGCAAGTTTTTTTTTAAATGAATAAACAACTGTATTCATACTTAAAGCGAGAGTCAGATTTATGGAGTTTGGCTATGGCACAATAAATATATTTCTGAAAGAAGAGTTCGACTAGAGATAAAGATGTTTAAGTAATTTGTCATCCAATTCTATTTTATCAATCACCGTCATAATTTATACTGCAATTGCAAAATAAATTATAGCTTGTTGTGATATAATTTGTATCTTCTATTGTACGAATTATTTCTCTATAATTTAGAGTCAAAACTGTCATAACCAATTCTAAAACAATAATGCTTATTAATCTTCTGTAAAAAATGTGACTACGTCCATATTATAGTATAGAATCACCTTAGTGCAGACTGTAAATTTGATATCAGATTAGTAAGACCAAAATCACGATTAGCTTAAGATTGTAGCTAAGGCATTTCATTTCAATTTTTGGATTTACTCAAATAGTTTTGAATTTGAAACTGAACTGCATTTCAATCATTTGTCAAACAATCCATATTATTTGTTAAGTAAATATTTATGACTATTATGTAAAAAAAATATTTTCAAATTAGAAACATACAAGTGTACATTTTCAAATCAGAATGAAAAATACATTTGCTAGGTTTTCTTCAACTGGATATATAATGATAGTTATTTCCAATTACTAAACATGTCTTGAGATGAAATGAGACAAAATTTACTAGGTTTTGCAATTTTTATAACAAAGCAGTTTAAGACACCAGTCAGATTTATAAAGTTTAGTCAGATTTATAAATATATTTCTAAAAGATGAGTTCGATCAAGTAATTTGTCACCCAAGTTCTACTTTATCAATAACCATCATAGTTTATACTGCAATTGCAAAACGAATTATAACTTCTAGCAATATAATTTGGATCTTCTATTGTATAAATTATTTCTCTATAATTTAGAGAAAAAATTGTCAAAATCTCTTCTAAAACAATAATACTTATTAATCTTCTGTAAAAAATGTGAATACATCCATATTATAGAATAAAATCACCTTATATATACAGCAGTAGGTAAATGTGATATCAGATTAGTAAGACCAAAATCACGATTAGCTTAAGATTGTAGCTAGGGTATTTCATTTCAATTTTTGGAATTATTCAAATAGTATGTTTTGAATTTGAAACTGAACTGCATTTCAATCATTTGTCAAACAATCCATATTATTTGTTAAGTGAATATTTACGACAATTATGTAAAAAAGTAATTTCAAATTAGAAACATAGTAGTATACAGTACATTTTCTAATCAGAATGAAAAATGCATTTGCTAGGTTTTCTTCACTTGGATATATATTGATAGTTATTTCTAATTACTAAATATGTCTTGAGATGAAATGAGACAAAATTTACTTGGTTTTGCAATTTTTATAACAAGTCGGTTTAAGACACCAGTAAGATTTATAAAGTTTGTGCCATGACACAATAAATATATTTCTAAAAGATGAGTTCGACTAGAGATATAGATTTGCAAAATTCTAAAATTATGAATTAATTTAAAAAGTAATTTGTCATCCAAGTTCTACTTTATAAATCACTGCAATAGTTTATACTGCAATTGCAAAATGAATTATAACTTGTTGCGATATAACTTTTATCTTCTATTGTACAAATTATTTCTCTATAATTTAGAGTCAAAATTGTCTGACAATTTTGACCCTCTAATCTATTCTAAAACAATAATGCTTATTAATCTTCTGTAAAAAATGTGAATACATCCATATTATAGAATAGAATCACCTTAAATGTACTGCAGATGGTAAATGTCGAAACACATTAGTAAGACCAAAACCACGAATGGTTTAAGATTGTAGCTAGGGTATTTCATTTCAATTTTTGGATTTACTCAAATAGTATGTTTTGAATTTGAAACTGAACTGAATTTTCAATTATATAGCAAAGATTGCAAAACAAACAGATTTGCAAAATTCCGCAGTGTCAACTTTTATACCTGTGGTCAAATGAATCAAGATAATATAGTAAAAAAATATTACAATGTTATCAAATAGTAATTACATGCCATTAGATTATTACTGAAATATATACTGTGAAAAAATGTAATATTTATATTGTCAGCTAACCTCATTCTCTCCCAGCTGGTTTTGAAATCTCATTTTATCCTTCAATAGTTTTTCTCTCTCTTCCTTTAAAAACATCTGTATGTCCATGGTGCTGTTCATTTTCTTCCTAAAATCGATTAACACTTTTCGCTAACTTTGGGAAAAATTTATGTAGTGGTTTTTCACTTTTTGTGTAAAAAATAACGATTGCAACCGTCACAGAAATGTCGACCGACATGACGCAGCTCTGAGCTAAGTGTCGATAGATGGAACAAGTGTATTTTTGCTTTTACAGGTTGGCGACACAGCAGTGGTTTCCAAACTGCGGGTCGAGAGGAACATGCACGGAGAACCTGCAAAGGGTCACAAATATAATTTTAAAATACTATTTACGAATAAAAATCAAACTAGTGGGGCCCATGGCATCGTGCCTTAAGGCAAATTGCTGGAACTTCCTGTACCGTAATATAAAATCTCGGTACAAAACCTAAAAAAAATTACACAAAATGTGTACACATTATTCAAATCTTTATAAAAAATCTGATAATTGGATGTACATATGTCCAATAAACATTTTAACCGTCAAAGGACATTTTTTTAACTTATTTTTATTAAGAGTTCATAACCGCTAGACCTGCCTTTCCAAAAATTTAATCAATTCTTCAATACAAGTAAATTGTTTTTTGAATTATTAAAATCGGACGCTCCGTTCTCTTAAAAACTGAGTTACGGTTTTCGGCACTTTTTGCCCCCTATCTTCGGAACGGCTAGACCTTCGCCAAAAACTAATCAGCACGTCTCCTCAATACGAATCGAATGCTTTTTGAATTATTGAAATCGGTTGATCGGTGTTCCCGAAATCGTCGACGATAGTTTGTATCCGCACACACATCCATTTTTTCTAAGGTATGCCAAAATATTCAGAAACCTTTAAAACGTAAAGATATGTAAAAATTTTCATTTTTGATTTTTTTGCGAATATTATAACTTACCCTACGGGGAGTTAATTACTATAACTTATATACTATACTTACCCTATACACAATATAATAGTCGAGTTGACTCACCCTACAGGAAGTTGTCAAAAAATGAGTTAATGGTGCATGGCATCGTGCCTTCAAGGTAAATTGCTAGAACTTCCCGTACTGTAATGAAATATTTGAGGAATTTTAAATGTTTATAGTATGAATGAAAATTGAAATCCGAATAATTTTAAATATCTAAAAACAAATTTCGAAATTAAAAAATAATTTATTCGATTTTTTTATTTATTTCTTTTTAAAATAGAAAACATTTTGCCAAAAAAATCTATTTTGTGCTCTGAGTTGTGCAAATTCTATATACTCAGAAATAATACTAAAACTGCTCGAGTTTAAAAGACATATACATAAAATATGAATTTATTTGCCTATATATTTGTACAAAGAAAATTCGGTCAACATTTTATAAATATGTAGAAGAATTTTACATAAGTAATTAATTCGGCATTGTATTTTTTCAAATTTACAATAAGAAAAAAATCCTTACATATTTTTTTACATAAAAAATAAACAAATTTTGCCCTATTATGGAAGAGAAGCAGCACAATTTCCACACTTTATGTATATGTATATATGTGTTATATATATATATATAAATATATATATATATATATATATATATATATATATATAATGTTTTTTTCTTGATCCTACAGCATCTTCTAAGTTTTGTCATTTTCATTTCTTTCAAAGAAGTTCGTCAAAATTAGAATTTATACTTTGTTTTGGGTCATAATCAAAAAATGGTACAATTAAAGTAAGGCTCTATATGGGCCAGAAACGTGGACTCAAAAAAAAAATTATAAAAACTACTTTGGAAGTTCAGTTGAAGAATAGATAAAAGGAGATTTAAAATGGACCAACAAGGTAACAATAGCAAAACAACTGCAAATCTTATTGGATTCTGTTGTCAAAGAAAAAGAAAAATACATGAGCCCATTGTCTCAAAAAAAAAACAGAAAGTTGTCCTTACACAAAATGAAAACGAAAGTTATTAAGCAAAATTCCAGTAAAATGCAGAAAAATGACCTGTTTCAGCATTAAAAAATTGTAAAAATGTGGTACTCTTGTTTCAAGAACATGGCTTCAAGTAGAGCATTAACAAAAATAATATAATAGTAATATACATATATATTTTTATATATAAATATATCTAAATTTATGCTTTTTATACACATATGTATGTGTTTTCAATATGTTCTGTATTATACAATATCTAATAACAAAGGTTTCATTACTATCTAAAATTTGGTATATTTTGCATATGATAGTCTTGTAGTTTAAGTTAAATAAATGTAAATGTGGTGCCTCAAAATAAACTATAATAATACATAACATTTAACACACACGATTCAATTACAGAAATAACAATAAATAAAATTATTATGTACAAAATCTTCATAACATTTATGACATTTGTTAAAATTATCTATAAATAATTGAAGATAATAATAAAGATATATTATATATTTATATTTGATATAAAAACTAATTATTTATGAATTACTCAGCTTATATGTAAAATTTCATATTAGATTTTTAATAAAATTTCAATTTAGTAAAATATTTGAACTGGTAATACATATTATCACCAAAAACTGGCCATTGACTTAGTCAAAATTCTTAAATTAAGATAAACATTCTATCTCACAGTCATATTACTAACACAACCGATCGTTAGCAAATTTTTGATAGAGGTCCATTATTATAATATAAGTTTTTCTTATACACGGCTGCCTAATACACATATCAGCAAAAGTTTTCATATTGAAAATGTTCATTGACTTAAATATATTCACAAAAATATTAGCACAGCAAGAGCGATCACAGTTCCTGATAAGTCCTTTTCATAATAATTGTTAAGGTGCAAATCTGTGGAAAAAAAGTTTTTTATATAAAAAATATATTAATTGATATGTACTAATAAGATGAAATGAATAGAATGAGATGATTATAATTCAAGTTATAACTTAATTACATATAATTATTTATAATATTATATTATGTTAATTGCAATATTATATTATATGCATACAAGGAACCCATACTGGATTTTTTAAGAAGCCCGGATTTAGATATTTGTTCTGGATTATTCAGTTTTCTTTCAAAGAAGTTCATATTTTCAATATTATTGTAAAATAGATTTCAAATAGAATTACATATTTTTACAATATTCGAACCCTAAAAACTGTTATATCGAAATTCACGTCTTGAAATAAACACACTAAAAGTTCCACCAGTTTCAGTTCATAAACAACAATCTTAAGAATAAGTTAATTCGAACAAAATTAAATTTAACATAATCCTTCTTAATAATAATTATAATTCTCTTTTAATTATTAACGGTTTAATAAAATATTTCATAATTGCATATAGTGAAGTCCCGGATTCCATCTTGAGTCCCGGGGTTTTCTAAAAGCATATTTGTCCCGAATTTAGTTTTTATGTTCTAAATTGCGCCGGATCTCCAAAAATATAAGTTCAAATGAAATCTTTGCAATTACTTAAGTTTTTACCTTAATTACAAAATATCCAATATATATTATACGTTACAACTATAACATAATGGATATCATTTAAATAAGATAGTTTTAAGATAACAAGTATGCTTATCCATATTGTTAAAAGTGAAAATGAATCAATATTGTGAATGAGAAAATTATCGATTACAAAATTTCAAAGGCGGGTTAAAATAGTCTCTCACATTAATAATTGAAAACAATTTTTTTGACTACCTGGCAAAAGTAGTAACTTTTTCAATTTAATTATAAAGAGAATTGTATAAATGTTATACAAGGCTCAACACATAGATCCAAAATTGTAAGATTTTATATAAATATAATGGAATCTATGTTATTTCTAATAATCAGTAATTCTTAAAATAAGGATCATTTGAAGAAAACTGATTTTGTGCACCCGTCTCGGATTAGCATAAGTAAAGAATGCTGTCCTGGTTTTGACTTAAAAAATATGATCACCTTAATGCAATACCTTAAGGGAGTATTCTAGTGTAGAAATTCAAAAAAATCTATTTTTTTAATTCATATTTTCAAAGTTAACTATCTAAGAATATGGGTACGAGAAGGTTTTTGAAAATTTGAATTATTTTCGGAGATATAGGCATTTTACTGACTCGGTCTTCATACTGGTTTGGCTTCACGCAAAACATTAAATGCGTTTTTCTCAGAACCGACTTTTTCAGTACTATTGACACAATTTCTCGTGTTTTAATCGACTTGAAATGTTCAGAGAGTCTTGTTTATAGACCTATCTATAGCCCGAACTAGAATTATCCCCAAATTCCAATTTTTACTATTTAAAAAAAAAATCGAGAAACTAAAAAAAACAGTAGAAAAACACTTTTTTTTCAAACAGTCGCCAATTCGTAAAAAAAATTTTTTTTTACTCATCGCTAGTTCGGGCGATCGCGACATTATTGTAGATTAATAATCTTTTTATTTTTTGCATTTTCCGATGGCTAGGAGTGCTGAAATCATGTCAAGACTGAGGTGCTAATTTTTTGAGACCACCCACTTCATCAGCTGCCAGTTTTTACAATTTTCAACTTTTTCATTTTTTAATTGTTGTTTTGTATTTTAATAATATTAATAAACAAGTGGTAAAAATGGATAGTAAAAACATTCATTACATTTGTTTACGTTACTTTAAAAATGACCTAAAATTCATCGCTCTACACTAGAATATCCCCTTAAGTTATCCAAATAAGATGAAAATACAGGAATTTGCTAATTGCAGTTAACAACCGGCTAATTTTAATCAAAAATTTTGGCAAAGGATTAAAATAGAACGACACAAGATATTTCAAAAATCAAGTTTGTTGTAGAATGTATGAGTATAAATATTTATCAATATAATCAAACCTCTATGGTCATGAGCCATCTTCGTTATGTACTACAGACGTGTCCGATTCTGATCTATTGACACATTCACGAACTGCTTTTAATATTAGACCTATTCTCCTATCAAGGGCTTCCAGGTGAGGAGCCCACAAAACTGGTGCTACAGGGTCAGATTGCATTGATTTTTCCATCAGCTCACTCAGACGATGAGGCCCGGTATGAAACCTAGAAAAATTAATAGAAATTAATTAATATAGTGTAGTTCATTCGTCCCAGACCGTTCCTTAAATACATAATTTAAACTAATTTAGGAAATCTAACAATAAGCTGCATGGAGTGCAGTCTCGGAATATAATTGAGTAAATATATCACTGCACTCGCTCGCCTAATTGCAAGTAATTAGTGTAAACAATACGCTTCTTCGCAAAGTTAAACGAATATTCAAGTGAAATCCATTAGCTCCAGACCTGCGCGCTAAAAGGAAGCTCCACAGAGAATGGAAATGATATTAAAAAAATAAACTAAATCATAGTTAAATATTCTGAGA